GGCCAGATCATATGTTTTAACAATTGAAATGATGTTTAAATAAAAAGGTCTTTACCTGGCGCCGAAAAACCAGTAACGACGGTGCCAGGCGGACCTCTTTGGGGAGTGAATTCCATAGGTTTCTGTTTAAAACATGTTTATCCCATCCTTTCTGATGAATGGCTCTGGACGGCTTACAGTGATTAAAATAGCGTCTAAAATATGATAATACCATAATTAAAACATTATAGGCCAACATAACAAACACTTTCCTAATCAAAGAAAAGAAAGGAAGGAAGAAAAAGAAGAATGGAGACCGTGGACACATCTTAAAGCATCTAAAAGCCTTAATTATTAAAATGATGGCTGAATAAAAGGATCTTGACCTGGCACTGAAAGGAGTATAAAGTCAGCGCCAGGCAGACCTCTCTGGGGAGTGTGTTCCAGAGTCGGGGTGCCACCGCAGAGAAGGCCCTGCTCCGGGTAGATACCCTCTTTACCTCCTTCAAGGAGGGTTCCTGGAGCAAGGCCTCTCCTGCCGATCTTAAGGGGCAGGAGGGCATGTAGGGAAGGAGAGGTTCCTTTCTAATATTTCAGATTATAATATATCCCGTTGTAACCCTGGGCAAGGGTGCCCACAGGGGGCATAGGGGTTAGGCTCCCCAGGAATAACCCCACAGGACTGAACGGCCCCCAAATGTGCCTTTGCCCCACACCCACCCAAGCACATCCTGGAGGGGAGGAAGGGAAGGAGTGATGCTGGGTGAGCTTTGCGGTGTCCTTCCAGGCACGTGCGCCCGGAAGACCTTCCCTTGCCACAGCGGCCAGTGTGTGAAGAAGGAGAACGCGGAGTGCGACGGACGCAGGGACTGCGAGGATGGCTCCGACGAAGTGCAGTGTGGTGAGTCCCTCCCCAGGAAGATTTCACGACACTGGGGATGCGGTTCCTGATTCGGTGCCATCAGAAACTGGATGGCTCGAACGGAACCGTGCTCCGGATACTTCCTGGAGCAGCAGAACCGAGCGAACCGTCGCAATCTCAGCTACAGCCTTGAACCGGCAGAGCGGCTGGATCGCTTCCGTCATTAGCTATAAATGGTCTGCAGTCAGACAGCGGAGATGTTAAAAAATACTCGTGGGACGTTTATTTATTTATTTAAAGCGTTGGGAGGCTAACCCATTCCTGAAGGCTCTGGATGGTGTAACGATACAAAATGTAAGAAAAGAAAAGAAAAAGAAATTAAAATGCAGCATCCTAAAATTTAGCAATACTAAAACCCCAATTAAAGCAGGTCTTCAAGCACTGGGGAAATAAAAAGGTTTTGGCCTGGCGCCGAAAAGAATAAAGTGAACCTGTCTGGGGAGCGGATGCCACAATTGGGATGCCACCACCGAGAAGGCCGGGCTCCTTTTCACCCAGCATCCAGCTCCATCTTAACCGAGTCCCTCTGCACAAAAGCAGAAGAGATGCCTCCTCCGACCCCGTAGGGATCACACATAAATAAAGACTGTGTGTTTCTTTCTCCTTCAGAGACATTGCATTCTCGAGTGCAAATTGAAGCAGATTTAATCTGTGCACGAACTGGACTAAACTCGTGCAATTCACATCGATTTCTGTAAGCCATAGACACAACCAATCACAGGGGACTATCCTCCGAGAAAATTCGGTCCCAAAACTCCAATGATCTTTCCAAGGATAAATTTGAGTGAAACTTGCGTGGTTTGTTGAGTGTGTTTCATTTTGTGTGTGCAGCAATTCTCTATTTATTTATTTATTTATTTATTAAAACATTTCTATGCCGCCCCATTCGCCGAAGCCTCGGGGCGGCTCACATCAACAAATGAAAATAATGATAATATAAATTAAAATATAAATATAAAATTAAGATACAACAGTACAGTATAAAATAAGCCGCCCTGGCCGGATAAAACCAATAATGTTAACAGTTAAAATGCCGCTCGAAGAAAAAGGTCTCCGCCTGGCGCCGGAAAACAAATAACGACGGCGCCAGGCGGGCCTCTCTCTCTTGGTGAGAAGGCAATTTTTTCCGTCACAAGATGCTGGAACTCACAGATCATAACTGGACTCCAGAATTTTAACGCATGTGTTTGTGATCTGGGGGTCGATTTGTTCATTCAGGTGGGGCGCTCTTGCTTGGGAAGGCTGCGGCCACCTTCAGGCCCTCTCTCTTTCCAGACTGTGGGGCCCGGCCGGCCATGCAGACAGGGAACCGGATAGTTGGGGGCTCAGAGGCCCTGCGGGGGGAGTTCCCGTGGCAGGTCAGCCTGAGAGAGAACAACGAACACTTCTGCGGGGCCACGATCCTGAGCGCAACGTGGCTCGTGTCAGCAGCTCACTGCTTCAATGAGTGAGTCCATTCCGCCCCCTCAGTGTTTGGTGGTCCTGCCACTGCCCGGGGGGGGGGGGCATGTCTGGGCTGCATGAAGGAGGATGGGCCGGATGGAGAGGAGGAGCAGGGGGTGCACGGCACTGGAGGGCCAGGGAACTCCGTCCTTGGGGGATTTGGCCTGACGGAGAATGAGCAGGCGGGGGGGGGGGGTATCCAGAGGGGGTCCTGGAGGAGAGGAAGAAGGGAAGAGGGGGTGGAGGCGATTCCGGGCAGAGGAGCCTTGTCAGACGCTTCCTTGCATGCCCACGGATGCTCGTCCAGGCGGAGGGATCTGCTGGCCAGCATGCCGGTCCTGCCATGTTCTGCCCCACGGCGCGTCCCAGCCGGGTCGGGGTGTCCTGCAGCAGCAGGGGCTGGACTCGGTGGCCTTCATGGCCCCTTCCAGCTCCACTATGCCGTGAATCTATGAGTCTCAGCTCCGAGGGAGCTTCCCCGGGGTGCCCACCGAAATCCTCTTGGCTCAGCTTTCAGGACCCGGGCACATGGTCAGCGCATGCTGGCAGTACCTGGCTGAGCCACCCCGAGAGCAGTGCCGTGAAGGCTGCCGTGGGCCGCATCCTGAAGCACCCCTCATATGACGCGGACACGGCTGACTACGACGTGGCGCTGCTGGAGCTCATGCAGCCCCTGCCCTTCTCCAGATACATCCAGCCTGCCTGCATCCCGGCCTCCTCCCATGTCTTCCCTCCGGGCCGGAGGTGCCTCATCTCAGGCTGGGGCTACCTCCGGGAAGATGTCTGTGAGTAACCCCATGGGATAGCTGAGGAGTGGGGGGGGGCAGCACCAGAAGCCCCTCCAGGGGAGATCCATGCGGGCCTCGAAGAGGGACATGCTGGGTGAGCTGTGGGAGATCCCCGAGTGAAGTGGGTCGTCCTGTGCTGAATCAGGACCCCCCGATCAGTGTATGGAGCCCCCCCTTGTGAAGGGAAGTCTTTCTCCGCATGGGGAGGCGCCCCCAGAGTGCTGCTTGGAGGGCTGGAGCCCCCATGCCACCAAGCTTCTTTCCCCAAGGCTTGGAAGCTGCAGAGGGGGCCATTTCCCAAGAGAAACCGCATCAGGTGGGGGGGGAGCACAACGGCTGGGGAGGGGTCCCAGAAAAGCCCAGTTCAAGTAAGAGGCCTCTTCACACAAGGCTCTAACCAGCGGAGGCTCCCAACCACCTGCGAACGGCTCCAGGGAGGTGGGGCACCATCCCTGAAAGCGGAAGGAGTCCCCCATCCTTGCTGCAGGCCACGAGTGGAGCCCCCCCCCCCGAGCTCTCCATTCACCCAAGAGCACCGGCCACCCCAACCTGTGGGGGAACAGGGGCTGGCAGCACTGCCAGTCAGCAGTGCCTGGGCCCCCCTGACCCTGGGGGATCTGTGGCCCTTCAGCCATGGTTGTCCCCAGGCCAGTTCTGGGGGTCCAGGCCAGTATCCCCCACACCCCAAGGAGCTGTGCAGCTTCTGCTGGCATGGAGAGCTTCAAGCTCCACCAGGCAGGCCATCCCAAGGGTCCCCCATGCTGGGCTCGGCCCAGGTGGGGGGCATCCATAGCCCCCCATCACTCCTGCTTCTCCGTCCACAGTGGTGAAGCCGGACCTCCTCCAGAAGGCCACGGTGGAGGTGCTGGACCAGGCACTGTGCAGCAGCTTGTACGGAAACATTCTCACCGAGAGGATGATGTGTGCTGGTTACCTGGAGGGCAAGATTGACTCCTGCCAGGTACGGGAGCGGGAGCATCCCGAGTCACCCCTTCCTGGGAGCCCTGAGGGTGGAGGAGGCCCTGCCTGGCTGTCCCCTCCTGACTGCTTCTCCCGCAGGGCGATTCAGGGGGACCGCTGGTCTGCGAAGAGCCCTCTGGCTCCTTTTTCCTGGCGGGCATTGTGAGCTGGGGCATCGGCTGTGCAGAGGCCAGGCGCCCGGGCGTCTACGCACGAGTCACCCAGCTGCGCGACTGGATCCAGGCCTCCATGGCCACCCGGGCCCCGGCACTGGTCCCCCTCGCCACCACACCCCGCCGTGAGACCTCCACGGAGGGTGCCAGATCTGGCTCCCCCACCACCGCATTCGCCCAGGCCACTGGCAGTCCAGCCATGGGGGGGATCCCTGTCCAAGGTACGGCCCCTGCGCTGATCAGGGTGAGCAGGGCTGGGGACCGTGAGCCAGAACTGGTGGCTAAGGCACGTTTCCGCCTTCAGCATGTGGCCTGAGGCCGGGATTCTCCAAGCCCGTCAAAATCGTGGGGGGCCTCAATGCCTCCTGCGGGGAAGTTCCCTGGCAAGCCAGCCTGAAGGAGGGTCCCCAGCACTTCTGTGGGGCTACCATCATCGGGGACCGCTGGCTGATCTCGGCTGCACACTGCTTCGCCAAGTAAGTCCGACGGCCGGAGCCCCAGACAGACACTGGGGGATTGGGCAGTAGCTTCTCCAGAACTGCTGCTGGGGCGGGGGGGGGGAATCGGGGGCCTTTTGCACATGGGCAGGGACTCCCACACCGACCCACAGCTGTTTCCTCAAAGAAGCCCTGAGAGGCAACTTAATCCAAACCAGACCCTTCATCCATGTAGGTCAGTATTTCCAACTCGGGCAGGCAGCAGCAGCAGCTTGCTTAGGGCTTCTTGGAGCCCTAACTGGAAATGGAACCGTCTAGCATGCAAAGCACCTGAGCTATAAAAGATTCTAGTTGTAAGCTGCCTAGGAAGGTCTCGGCAATCAGAGGGGGACGATAAATAGATGTAACTAACGAACTAACTAGTTCTGACTGAAAGGTCAAAGCTGCCTTATACTAAACCTGGCTTACAATGTGAATAGCTCAGAGAACTGGGCATGTTCAGCCTTGGGAAAAGAAGAGTGAAGCGCGACGTGCTATCACTCAACAATACCGCATCCAGTTCTGGGCAGCAAGATTGAAGAATGATGCAGAGAAATTAGAAAGGGCAGCAAAAATGATCCTGCGGTTGGAAACACTGCCCTGCGAGGACAGACTGAGGGAACTGGACTGAGAAGAGAAGATTGAGGGGGACATGATGTCTCTCTATAAGTACCTCAAAGGCTGTCACAAAGAGGAAGGCCAAGATCTCTTCTCGCTGATGCCAGAGTGCGGGACACGGAATAATCAGTTCAAGCCGTGACAGCCCAGATTCAGGCTGGACATCAGGAAAAGCTTCCTCTCTGTCAGAACAACGCAACAGTGGAACCAGCTGCCTGGAGAGGTGCTGGGAGCTCCTACACAGGAGACATTTCAGAAGAGACTGGGCAGCCCCCTGAGTGGGGTGGTGTAACATTTGGCGTCCTGCAACAGCAGCGGGTTGGACTGGATGGCCTTCCTGGCCCCTTCCAACTCTACGACTCCGTGACCCTCTGATCCACACTCTGGGCAGGGACGCTGGAGATCCACGGCCTCATAGCCAGGTTAGAGTAAGTGCAGCGAAGCGCCACAGGGATGGAGGCCGGATTGTGGGAAAAGCCACAGAAGGCAAGACTGAGGGAGCCGGGTCTCTCTCTCTGTTTCTCTGAGCAAGGCTGGCTGGAGCTGGGGTCTTACTAGCTGTCCTGAGAGACCCCGCTTGCCTCACTCATTTCTCTGTCTCTTCACCCTAGTCGGCCCTGAGCTGCCCAGCTAAGCAAAGGGCTCTTCCGAAAGGGAGCTGGCGACCCCGCGCAGTCAGCCGCGTCCCTCAGAGCTGTGCTGCCGGCCGACTCTTTTCTCAGGGCCAGGGAAACCACGCAGGGGGTGACTTGGTCAGCCGGCCAAGGAGATGCCCTCTGCCCAAACTGGGGCCGGCACACCTCAAATGACTGATCCCACTAACAGCAGCATCTCTCGCCCGCTTGCACCGGCAGCACCAAGGTGGAGCACATGGCCGCCTTCGCCGGTACCACCGCCCTCTCCGCAGTGGGGGGCTCCTCCGTGAAGGTCCGCGTGCAGCGTGTGGTCACCCACCCTGCATACAACGCCGCCCGGCTGGACTTCGACGTGGCGCTGCTGGAGCTGACCCAGCCCCTGCCCTTCGGCAAGGAGATCCAGCCCATCTGCCTCCCGCCCAGCGCCCAGGACTTCCCCGTGGGCCGGAAGTGCATGATCTCTGGCTGGGGAAGCCTCCATGAAGGGAACGGTAAGTGGCCATGGGGGACCCGCAGGGGGAGAACCGCAGGGGGAGAACCGCAGGGGGAGAACCTCCTGTGAAGCCTGATCCGCCAACCAACAGGACCTCCGTCTTGTCTGGATTGAGCTTCAGTTTATTGGCCCTCATCCAGCCCATTACCTCGGCCAAGCACCAGTTCAGCACAGCCACTGCCTCACCTGGATTAGTGGAAAACGAGAGGTAGAGCTGGGTATCATCAGCATACTGATGGTTCCGCAGCCCACACCTCCTGATGACCTCTCCCAGCGGTTTCATGTAGATGTTGAACAGCAAAGGGGACAAAATGGACCCCTGCAGTACTCCATGGCATAGCTGCCATGGCGCAGAGCCATAGTCCCCCAGCACCACCTTCTGGAACCGGCCATTGAGATAGGAGCGGAACCACTGCAAAACAGTGCCTCCGACCCCCAATCACGCAAGCCTATCCAGAAGGATACCATGGTCGATGGTATCGAAAGCCGCCGAGAGGTCCAGGAGAACCAACAGGGACGCACTCCCCCTGTCCTTCTCCCTGCACAGGTCATCGTACAGGGCGACCAAGGCAGGTTCAGTACCGTACCCGGGTCTGAAGCCGGACTGAAATGGGTCCAGATAATCAGTCTCATTCAAGAGTGCTTGGAGTTGTCCCGCCACCACTCGCTCTAGCACCTTGCCCAGAAACGGGATGTTGGCCACTGGTCTATAATTAGTGGCCATCTCTGGATCCAGTGACGCTTTCTTCAGGACCGGTCGGACTACCGCCTCCTTTAAAGGGGCAGGCCCCCGACCCTCCCTCAGAGAAGCGTTAACCACTTCCAAGATCCAGGTCCCAATCCTGTGCTTGGAATTATTTATTAACCAAGACGGGCAAGGGTCCAATAGGCAAGTGGTGGGACGTACTCGTCCAAGCACCTTGTCCACATCATCGGGCCGCAATAACTGAAATTCATCCAATAATTCTGGACCAGACAGCAGCATTGGCGTCTCCCTTAAAACCTCTGAATCAATAGTGGAATCCAGCTCGTGACGAATCTGAGTGATTTTCTCCCTGAAATGCCTGGCAAAGTCGTCACAGCGGGCCTTTGGGGGTGGAACCAGGTCTTCTTTTGGACCTGGACGAACCAGGCCTTGCACCACTCGAAAAAGCTCCGCCGGATGGCATTGTGAGGAGGCAATGGAAGCGGAAAAAAATCTCTGTTTTGCCGCCCTCACTGCCACAGCATAGGCCCGATAGTGGGCTCTCAAGTGTGTTCGGTCAGATTCATCCCGTGATTTCCTCCACCTACGCTCTAGCCGTCTCCCAACCTGCTTCATCGCCCTCAATTCAGGAGTATACCAAGGGGAAGAGCGGGCTCTGCCCGGTGGGAGAGGACGCTTAGGAGCGATCGTGTCCACAGCCCTGGTCATCTCTCCGTTCCACAGTTCGACCAGAGCCTCGACAGGAGCACCCGCCTTGTCAGCCGGAAACTCCCCCAGGGCCTTCAGGAATCCTTCCGGATCCATCCGGCTCCGGGGGCGGACCCACACAATCGGGTCCACACCCTTACAGAGGGAGAGGTTGCTCTCGAGCACAAACCTCACCAGGAAGTGATCTGACCATGACAGGGGAGTCAAGCATAAATTCCTCACCCTCAGGTCACCCTCTTCCTGCCCCGTCGAGAAAACCAGGTCCAGAGTGTGTCCACGTTCATTGAAATGAGTGCAATGGTGCGGTAGTTTGAACATTCTTTGGCATTGCCCTTCTTTGGGATCGGAATGTAAACTGACCTTTTCCAATCCTGCGGCCACTGTTGCGTTTTCCAAATTTGCTGGCATACTGAGTGTAGCACTTTTACTGCATCGTCTTTTAGGGTTTTGAATAGCTCAGCTGGAATACTGTCACCTCCACTAGCTTCATTGTTGCTCAGACTTCCTAAGGCCCATTTGACTTCACATTCCAGGATGTCTGGCTTGAGGTTGGTGACCACCCCATCGTGGTTATCAGGGACATTAAGCTCTTTCTTGTCTAGCTCCTCTGTGTAATCTTGCCACCTCTTCTTAATCTCTTCTGCCTCTGTTAGGTCCCTGCCATTTTGGTCCTTCATCATGCCCAACTTTGCATGAAACGTTCCCTTTATATCTCCAGTTCTCTTGAAGAGATCTCCGGTCCTCCCTATTCTATTGTTTTCTTCTATTTCTTTGCACTGTTCATTTAAGAATGCATTCTTATCTCTTTTAGCTATTTTCTGGAATTCTGCATTTAATTGTGCGTATCTTTCTCTTTCTCCCTTGCCTTTCACTTCCCTTCTTTCCTCAGTTATTTGTAAAGCTTTCCTGGACAGCCATTTTGCTTTCTTGCATTTCTTTTTCTTTGGGATGGTTTTAGTTGCTACCTATTGTACAATATTGCGAACCTCCATCCATAGTTCTTCAGGCACTCTGTCTATCAGATCTAATTCCTTAAATCTATTTGTCACCTCTACTGTATATTCATCAGGGATATAATTTAGGTCATACCTGAGTGGCCTAGAACTTTTAGCTGCTTTCTTCAATTTAAGCCTAAATTTTGGAACAAGCAGCTCATGATCTGAGCCACAGACAGCTCCTGGTCTAGTTTTTACTGACTGTATGGAGCTTCTCCATCTTTGGCTGCAGAGCACATAATCAATCTGATTTCTGTGTTGACCGTCTGGTGATGTCCATGTGCAGAGTCGTCTCTTGGGTTGTTGGAAAAGAGTGTTTGCTATGACCATCATATTCTCTTGACAGAATTCTAGCAGCCTGCGCCCTGCTTCATTTTGTACTCCAGGGCCAAACTTGCCTGTTATTCCGGTTATCTTTTGGCTTCCTACTTTAGCATTCCAATTCCCCATGATGATAAGGACATCATTTTGGGGTGTTAATTCTAGAAGGTGTTGTAGGCCTTCATAGAACTGGTCAGCTCTCAGCCTCTTCAGCACCAGTGGTTGGGGCATAGACTTGGACTACTGTGATGTTGAATGGTTTGCCTTGGATTCGAACTGAGATCATTCCGTCATTTTGGAGATTGCATCCCAGTACTGCGTTTCCTACTCTTATATTGACTATGAAGGCTACTCCATTTCTTCTGAGGGATTCTTGCCCGCAGTAGTATACCCGATGGTCCTCTGAATTAAATTCACCCATTCCTGTCCATTTTAGTTCACTGATTCCTAAGATGTCGATGTTCAGTCTTGTCATCTCTTGATTGACCACGTCCAACTTGCCTTGATTCATGGATCTTACATTCCAGGTTCCTATGGAGTATAGATCTTTGCAGCCTTGGACTCTCCTTTCACCACCAGATGCATCCGCAACTGCGTGTCCTTTCGGCTTTGGCCCAGTCGCTTCACTCTTTCTGGCGCTACTAGTACTAGCCCTCTGCTCTTCCCCAGTAGCACACTGGACACCTTCCGACCTGAGGGGCTCATCTTCCGGCGTCGTATCTTTTTGCCTTTTGGTACTGTCCATGGGGTTTTCATGGCAAACATACTGGAGTGGGTTGCCATTTCCTTCTCCAGTGGATCAGAGAGCATAGACCTCTCTGCTATGACCTGTCCGTCTTGAGTTGCCCTACACGGCATAGCTCATCGCTTCATTGAGCTACACAAGTCCCTTCGCTACGACAAGGCAATGATCCATGAAGGAGAATTAATTAATTATCTTAATATCAGTCTTGCATAATATATTAAAATTCCCAACTGTGTTGCATTGAAGTACCGCCCAGATGATATAGAATCCAGATGACATTTTTTTTGTTCCTTTATTCTTTAGTTTTATGAAAGTGTTTGTTCTACGTTTTGCCTATTATTTATTGTTTTAATTATTGTATTGTATTATTATGCTACTATTTTAATCATTGTAAGCTGTTCTGAGATTTTTTTTGGGAAGGGCGGGGTGAACATGGTTTTACTTACTTACGTATTTGAGTAAGTAAGTAAGCAAGCAAGAAATAGGAACATGATTAAAAACTGGACTCAAAGATCAACAATTCTATAGCAATGAAGCTTGGGTGGGGTAGCAGGGTAACCCACATGCTGGGAAGAACCTGTGCGAAGAGGCGTGTCTCCTTATGTCCCAGGGCTACATCCCTTTGGACTGACCCTCCGTTCTGGCACTGCTGCTGACCCCCCTTTTATCTCCTGCTGTGTGGCTTGCAGTCTCCAAGCCTGAGATTCTGCAGCGGGCCTCTGTCAGGATCCTTGACCAGAAGATCTGCAGCGTTCTCTACAACTTCTCTCTCACCGAGCAGATGATCTGTGCGGGGTTCCTCGAGGGGAAGGTCGACTCCTGCCAGGTGAAGCACAGACCCACCTTCTTTCCGAACTTCTTCTTCTCACTCGTTAACGAGGATGATGTTTAAGAGCCAGAAGCAGCTTCGGAAATTGATCATCTCGATTTTCTTTCCTTAATATCCCCGCTTGGAGTTTCGTCCCCCTTTCAGTGCTTGGTTGATTTGGAGGTGGACATTGTACTTGGAAGGTTTGCACAGAATACTAAATGGCGTTTATTCTACCCATGGCTGCCTGCTTCACATATAACAACAACCCAGAGTGCAGACTGAGTTGCAAACCCACGTTTTGTGCATGTTGTGTTGCCCATGGTTAACAACCCAGACTCAACCCATAGTACAGAATTCAGATGGCGCAAGCCATGCTTCTTGCCTAAGGGCTCCCCAAGTCCTGAAGCTCACCCTACTTGTGACTGCTTATCCTAGTTGCCCCACCTCCCTGATCATTTCGGTTGCCTTTTTCGGGACTTTTTCTGTTTCTGTGCCGTGTCTGAGGGTCATACTAGATGGCCCGAGAGGTCCCTTCTGTCTTGCTCAGTTTCTATGTTTCTCTGAGCAGAGCTTAAGCTTAAGTGGGGCTCATTTTTGGGGTAGGGCTTATTTATTTATTTAGAATATTTATATGCTGTCCAGTCGTGAAGGCTTCAGGATGGCTTACCTAGATCAAATAATATAAAACATAACATAAAGGACTTACAGATCCACACTGGCTGCAGTTAAAAACATATATAAACCAGTATTAAAAGTTATTAAAATATTGCTGGAATAAAAAGGCCTTAACCTGGCGCTGAAAAACAAATAACGATGGCTCCAGGCGGACCTCTCTGGGGAGTGCATTCCACAGATGGGGCGCCACCTCAGAGAAAGCCCTCCTCCGGGTACTTTGCCCCCTAATATCTTTCACGGAAGGTTCCCAGAGGAGGCCCTCTGCTGCCGATCTCAGGGGGCGGGAGGACAAATACGGAAGAAGGCGTTCCTTTAGTTATCCAGGTCCTAAACCTATATTCCGAGCAACCGGAAAAATCATGGGCTGATTTTCTGGTTAGGTCTTATTTTGAGGGAAACACGGTCATTCCAGGGCTTATTTAATGGAGTGGGTCCTCTGTTCCCCCCAGGGTGACTCAGGGGGACCCCTGGCCTGTGAGGAGGCCCCGGGCATGTTCTATTTGGCGGGTCTGGTGAGCTGGGGCATTGGCTGCGCGCAGGCGAAGAGGCCTGGTGTTTACGCCCGGATCAGCAAAGTCAAGGCCTGGATTCTGGAAACCCTCTCGCCCCAGCCCGGCATCTTGGCCAGTTCAGCCACCACGTCTAGCTCGTCCATCCCTGGCCAGAGGACTTCCCAACCAGCCCCCAGTGCCAGGCTGAGCACCCCCTTTGAGACCACGACCAGCCCCTGGAAGGCCACCCAGCAGCCAGGTAACTGTGGGGCAACTTGCAACAGCTTTGGGGTAGCCCCTTCCTCGGCATCTTCAGCGGAGCAGGAATCGGCAGAGGCTGACTCCTAGTCTTGTGGCCTTTGACGCCCACCTTCCCTACCTGGAACTGGAAGTTTACCTTCACAAGAATCCAGAGAAGGACCTTCCAGTCCCAACCTGGATGGGTGGGAGCTGGAGGTCAATGTTCCCAAGAATCCCGAGCGAGGCCTTCCAGCCCCAACTGGATTGGGCCCGACTCCTCACGGATGCACATTCTGAAGAATGCTTGAGGATTTGCATCCACTTCCTCGGAAGCAGAACAGGGCGGGAGCGGGAGGGGAACCACCTCGGGCTTCTGAGGAGCACCATGGGAGCTTCTGCCGGAGCCAGCCTACAGGTCTTGGGTCTGTAGCTCCCATCATCCTGGGCTGGGACTACAGTCCCTGCACTTCTGGTGCCCAGGCCAGGAAAGCAGCCAAGGTGCAGCAAAATCCCAGCATGACTCCTTGCCGTGCGGTCCCCTGGCCTCCCAGATGGGCCCAGCCAGAGCACCTCGGCCCTGCCCAGTGGTGCCCAGCGAGCTGGGGGGCTCCCGCATGGAGAGGGATGGAGGGGCCTCTTTCCGCCTCCTCTTCATGAATCACCTCATGGCACCCTGTACCCCACAGCCGTGCCCTGCACCCCATCCACCTTCCAGTGCTCCAGCAAGGTCTGCATTGGGAAAGCCAACCCCGAGTGTGATGGCGTCGCGGACTGTGGCAACGGCCGGGACGAGACCAACTGTGGTAAGTGTGCCGTCCGGCTGCACGCCCCCACAGCCCCTCCTGGGGCACCCTGCTCTGCCCCCGAGCGCTCCTTCAGCGGTGCACCCTTCCCCAACCTGGCGCCCTCAGGCATGACCATTCCCAGTGCTTTTTTTGGTCATGGAACACACCGGAACGGAGTTCTGGCACCGGTTTTTGACAGATTTTCCAAGTTTTAAAAGTTACTTTTGAAAATTTGAGGTTTGGTCTACATGGATTTGAATCGCCCTGTCAAGCGTAGCAGGTCGGCGGCAAAATCATGAAAACGGCACGTGTGGGCGGCTTGCGTGTCGAGTCCGATGCGTGCGCACTTCGTCCGCGCTGGTTGTGATGGCGCTGCTCGGCTTGGGATTGGTCCTGTGGTCATGCGCCGAGCGCTTACTGCGGGCGGCAACCGTTACGTTTCGTTGCACAACTGACGTGTGTGGGTGTGTGTACAGTGATTGACTACGTGCGAAAGATAAATAATTTCATGAGTTCCGGTACCTTTTTTCTTCCAAAAAAAGCACTGACCATTCCCATCATCCCCTACTGGCATGGCCTGCCCATGTCTCCCCGGTGTTGCACCACTTCTCCCTAACCCAAAGTCAGAGGTGTCCAGGAAGGCTATTGATGCGGCCCACCGTGAAATCTGAAACTTCAGACCTCAAGCTCTTTTTGCAATTTTGGAAGACTTGATCATGCGGATCTTGAGCATGAACCTGGCCAACATCCCATCAAATAACTGAATATTAGCGCTTGCTCTTTGGTGGTGGAAAATATCATGAAAATTCTGCAGCTGTTTTTGGCTTGCTAGTGTTTGTGAGCGTGCACATATTGAACCTGTGGCCTGAGACCCTTTTTCTCCTCCTGATGCGGCCTGGAGGAGCCGAACGGGTGGACGCCCTGTCCGAAGTGCTTCCGGAGGAAGGTTTTTTCCCCTGGCAGGACTTCCCTCCTGCTAAAATTGGGAAGGAGGTTGGCTCTGAGCCCTTGAAGCTTCTTCCGCATGGAGTCTTGTCCCTGGAATGGAAATGGGCCAGGAGGACACAGCAGGGAACGGCTGTCCCACGGTGCAGGACGAGCCTTCCCAGAGCTGGCGGGGACTCTTGTTCAGCTGCAGGAATGTGCCCTGCGGTACAAAGCCAGAGGGGAGATGAAACTGGGTGTGCGTCCAGGTTGGGGCCCGCCTTTGGCATGCCCCCCGCCTGCTTCCCTCTCCTTTCCTGCAGATTGTGGGCTGACCCCGGCCCCGGCCCTTGGCAAGATCGTGGGGGGCAGCGGTGCAGGCCGGACCGAGTGGCCCTGGCAGGCCAGCCTGCGGCTGCGGCACCGAGACCACCGATGTGGCGCCGTGCTGGTGGCAGAGCGGTGGCTGCTCTCAGCAGCCCACTGCTTCGATGCGTGAGTTGAGTGGAGGGAGCACAGGGCAGCGGTCAGGCGGGGGTGGCTGGGAAGCAGCTTGGGGCAGCAGGGGCCGGATGACCGGCACGACAGACAGGCCCAGTCCAAACTGGAGTCGGGCGGCCCAGAGATCAAGGTGGGAACAGAAGTGCAAGGGAGGCTGATCCGAACGGAGCAGAGGAGCTGATGCCCGTCAGGAGTCGAAAGCTGAGAAGGAGGGGACACCTGGGACGGGAGCGGAAGCTGGAGCAGGTGAAGCTGGGCACAGTCCAGAAGTGGGGGCAGGACAAGGAGATGGGAGGAGGTCCCAGAAGGCACAGGGAGCTCCTCCTTGCTGCTGAGGCCCCATTTGAAGCGAAGAGCTGGCTGGTTCTGCTATAGCCCTTCCCTCAGGGCTCCCAGGTGGTGCTCGTAACATCTCAGGTGGCTGCGCTTGACTGTAGATCCACTCCTGCAACCACCAGGGCTGCTATTCTGCTCCCTTGCCAGGAGAGGGAGCCTGGCGCTGCCCCAGGACCTCACAGCAGAGGACAGCTCTTGGTTTGCCCCTTGGGGTGCGGGTCACCATCTGGCAGAGGACTGATCACGGCTCTGCGTCCAGCATGCTTCCTTGGTGACACATTAGCAGCTGTGTAGTACCAAATTAGCCATGGGGGTCTGCCTGGCATGGAGAGGTGACCCTTCCCAGAAAGAAAAAGCGTGCTTCTAGTCCTCATGGTTTGGAGTCAAGGGCGGATTGTAAATAGGAACACAGGAAGTACAACCATAGAATCATCGAATAGTAGAGCTGGAAGGGGTCAGGAAGGCCATCGAGTCAAACCCCCTAGATCAGGGGTCCTCAAAACTTTTTCAACAGGGGCCAGTTGCAAGGTGCCAGGGGTGGGTGTGGGCTGCCAGGGGGGTGCTAGCAGGGAGGTGTGGGCCAGGGGTGGGGTGTGCACGCACGCACACACATACAGGGCGAAGTGCAGGGGGCGCGGGTGAGGTGCCTGCTTGCTCACGAGATCATTTTCTCCAAGCATGTCCAAAATGACCTCCTCACGAGCAAGCTGCATGCGCACCCAGTGGGTGCAAAACCTGTGGGGCAGGCCAGTTAAAAGGGCATGGGGGGGGCGCATCCGGCCCGCGGACCTTCGTTTGAGGACCCATGCCCTAGATCACAGGATCATGGAATAGTACAGGTGGAAGGGGCCATGAAGGCCATCAAGTCCACCCCCTGCTGTTGCAGGACACCACGTCACATCATCCCACTCAGAGGGCTGTCCAGTTTCTTTCTGAGTCTCTTCAGTGTGGGAGAGCACACAACCTCTCCGGGCAGCTGGTCCCACTGTTGTATTTCTCTGACAGCAAGGAAACTTTCCCTGGTGTCCAGCCTGAATCTGGGTTGTCGCAACTTGATCATTCCATGTCCAACGCTCTGGCATCAGCTAGAAGTGATCTTGCCCTTCCCCTTTGGGACAGCCTTTGAGGTCCTTCTAGAGGGATCTCACGTCCCCCCTCAGTCTTCTCAAGGCTGAACATGCCCAGTTCCCTCAGCCTCTCCTTGCACAGCAGTTTCTAACCCCTGGATCACTTCAGTTGCCCCCCACTGTACCCTTTCTCATTTCCCTGCTCTTTCTACCATCTTAGTGCACTGAACTGGGCACCATATTCCAGATGGGTCTGACTAGTGCGGAATCGAGGCCTGGCAAGCAGGGACTCCTCCTCTGTCTTCGCCTGCCTCAGCCCTGCAAACCCCACACCCTGGGCCCCTCCCCACAGCAGTTATGCTGAACCCCCCACAGAAACCCTCGCGAACCCACCCCACCATCTTGGACAAACCTCCATTGCGGAAATATCCCCTCACTGGCTGGTTTTTCCTTTCCCTTCCCGGGTGCAAGGCTGGCCATGATCCCCTGGGATGTCCCTGGTCCAAGCAAGAGGCCGAGAGGGAAAGCTCCAAGTGAGTGGACTAAACTCCCGCTTTGCCTTTTTTTGTCTCCGGAAACAAAAGGGATGCTCTGGAAGACCTCTTCTGCCCACTGTTGGTGACTCAACTCTAAGGCAGGGCACTCTGTGCATGCCCAGAGACCTTGCTTGGCAGCCAGGAGCCCTGGCGGCATCTAACGGACTGGAACCCGAGTGATGGTTCACCCCGAGGTTTCTCTAAAATTCATGCTTTATTCAGAATCAAGAGGACTAGCATATTGCTTAAACTGAGAGACAGGCCGTAGCTCCGTGGAAGGGCCTCAGGGCATGCGGTGGTTCTGAGGACTGCCCCCTGGCATGCCCAGAGGTGGGAAGGGGGAGAGGGGTTGTGGGGAGGCAGTGCCAGTGCTGCCTGGGTGGGGGAAGCAAGCCAGCCCCACTGCCCGTGGGCCCCAGGCTCCTTTCCAGGTGCATCCGGCAGTTTCCATGTCCGGGAAGGATTTGTGCCCCGGGGCAGAGGGATGGTGGCACATGGGCCTTCCCCTGTGCCTGGACCCCGAACCAGCCCGGCTCAATGCAGCCCCTCGTTTAGGCACGGCGACCCCAAGCTCTGGGAAGCACAGCTGGGCACCACCTTCCTGAGTGGCCCCAGCGGGCACGTGGAGAGGATCGCTCAGATCCGCAAGCACCCGTTCTACAACCTGTACACCCTGGACTATGACGTGGCCCTGCTGCAGCTGCCCTCGCCCCTGCGCTACTCCAGCACCATCAAGCCCATCTGCCTGCCGGACAGCAGCCACGTCTTTGCCGAGGGGAGACACTGCATCATCACCGGCTGGGGCTCCACCAAGGAGGGAGGTACGGCGGCCCAGCGCCCTCCTCAGCTGCCCCACCACCAGGGGCAGGTGACCCTCACCCAGAGTATTTCCAAACACAGAAACTGAGCAAGGCCGAAGGCCATCTAGTCTGACCCTGGCTCCACTCAAGGCATGCCCACCATGTGCACGTCCAGCCTGTCCTTGGACACCCGCACCGATGGGGCCTCAACCACCTCCCGGGGAAGCCCAGTCCACACCCTCGGGGTCCCGACTGTCAGGAAGTGCTTCCTGGCATCCAAAGGGAACCCTGGTTCCCGGAGCTTGGCTCCCCTGGAGCGCGTCCTGCCTTCCTCTGGGGAGCAGGTCTCTACCCACTTCTGTGGGACACCCCCTCACAGGTCTAGATGTCACCAACAGCTCTCCTCAGAGACTCCTCCAGGCTAAAGAGACCCAGTTCCTTCAGTCTCGCCTCATGAAGCTTTCCTGTGGCTCTTGGCTGCACAGACTCCCAACTTGGCTACATCCCTCCTGTAACGAGGGGCTGATGTCCCTGAAACTAACACGGAGAATGTATCAGTCTTTCATGTCTGAAAGACATTTTTGCCTGAAACTTTGGCCGATCAGCCTTGGAGTTGGGCTCGCCGGTGCCACGTTTCTGGCAGATCCGAAAATCTCGCCGTCTCCTACAGGGCTGCTCTCCAAGCAACTTCAGAAGGCAGCTGTCCGGGTCATCGGAGAACAGGCCTGCCGGCGCTTTTACCCCGTGCAGATCAGCAGCCGGATGGCGTGCGCTGGGCTCCCGCACGGCACCGTAGACAGCTGTTCGGTGAGCCCCACAGATCTGCCCTCCGATGCCTGGTGTGGGGAGCAGGGCTGCTGGGGGTGACTGCAGGAGCATCCGATCTCTGTGCTGCCCCGAGCTGAGCCGCGATCCTCAGTAGTGCGCGTTCTGGGGAGAATGGAGTGGCCAACAAGCCGAGCAGGCTCATCGTTGGCTTCGGAGGCTCCCGAGGGGCAATCTGGCCCATCCCTGAACCAGAGGCCTGATCCTGCCGGCTCACCGCAGCGGGCCATGGGGCACCCTGGATCTTGGAGTCTCGTCGGGGAGGAGGCTGAGACCCCCTGATTGTATGATTTGAAATCACGACCCTTGGGGCCAGCCCCTCGCCCGCCAGCAAAAAAGGGCGGTATGGAAAGCCGGGGATGATGGGGCTGCTATGCCGACCCGCTCAGATGGAACTTTTTTTAATGGGGGGAGCAGCGCCTCCTGAGCCACAGACCCCATATGGGGTCCCCTCCAGAACATCCCTCCTCTGCATGATGCAGCAACTCCGCAGCCCTCACTGCCTTCTTTCCTCCACAGGGAGATGCTGGGGGTCCTCTGGCATGTCAGGAGCCTTCGGGCCATTGGTTCCTGGCAGGGATCACCAGCTGGGGCTATGGATGTGGCCGACCGCACTTCCCCGGCGTCTACACCAAAGTCACGGCTGTGCGCAGCTGGCTGGGGCAGAGCCTCAATGTGTGAAGCCGCCATGGGCCTGGGGAGGACGGACTGCCCGTTACTACTGAAAGACCCAGCCTCCGCACACCAGAAGGGCAAGCCTGAACTGCGTTTTCTCCGAGCGGCCTTGTCCCAGTAAGGTGATGCCTATCTCCTGACAGATGGGGCTTTTCCGGCTGCTGGGGGTCTCCAGGACACCTCTCGTCATGGGTAGTGCCCGACTCTTTCCCCTTTCCAACTGTGCTGGTAAGCCGGGGGCTCCAGCGACCCTCAAGAGCAACACAATCCAAGGAAGCTCTTGTGGACTAGAACCTTGTGAGCATTCTGTGCCTGCTCCACGATGCTGGGATTTCACTGACTTGGAACAGTTCATAACAGTGTCCTCCCTCCTTAGCCCTTCTGTGTCCATTCTCCCCTGTCAAGATGGCACGCCCCTCTCCTCAGCCCTTCCCCATGTCAGCATCCTGCACTGACAGTTTGGGAGCGAGCCGGGATTACTTCCTGGCCGCATTACCGCAATGTGAGCAACCTGGAGCGGCCCTTGAAGATGGTCCAGATACTTCAGTTGGTTCAACAAAGAGCTGCCAGGATGTTAATGGGGACTGGCTGGTTTTCACATATAACCCCCGTCCTCTGCTGGCTACCAATTGAAGTCCGGGCCCAATTTGAGCTGCTGGTGATTACCCATAAAGCTCTGAACCGGTCCGGGACCCCTGAAGGGGCACCTTCTCCCATATGTGCCCTCCCGCCCCTTGAGACCTGAGGCAGAGGCCCTGCTCTGGGAGTCATCCTTGCAAGAGATTAGGAGGGTGACTCCCCAGAGCAGGGCCTTCACTGTGGTGACATCCCGACTACAGAATCCGCTCCCCAGAGAGGTTGACCTGGTGTGGACGTTCTATCCTTTTTATTTTCCCATTATTTTAATGTTTAATTGCTTTTACTTGCAGCTTTAGTATATTATGGTTGGATGTTGCGGGGTTGCCTTTCTCTTCTATTTATTTATTGTAAGCCATCCCGAGATGTTCTGTAGGGGATGGGCTAGCAAAGCTGTTAATAAATAAATAAAATGAGGTGGGGGTTCCAGAGGACTGAAGCCAGACAAGGTCACTGTCCAGGCTGTCCAACGTTGGGTCCCCTCAACTAGGACATAGAAACATAGAAACAGAGCAAGGCAGAAGGGGCCTCCCGGGCCATGTAGTCTGACCTCTGGCACCAGCCGGCTCCGCTCATGACATGCCCACCGTGTGGACGTCCAGCCTGTCCTTGAACACCCGCACCAATGGGACCTCAACGGCCTCTCGTGGAAGCCCATTCCACACCCTCGGGGTCCTGACTGTCAGGAAGTACTTCTTGACATCCAAATTGGACCTGGGTTCCCTGAGCTTGGCTCCCTTGGAGCGCGTCCTGCCCTCCTCTGCAGGGGAGAGCAGGTCTCTACCCACCTCTGCGTGACACCCCCTCACATACCTGTATGTCGCCAACATGTCCCCCCGAGTCTCCTCCTCCCAAGGCTGAAGAGACCCAGTTCCCTCAGTCTCGCCTCATACGGCATCCCCTGCAAACCGGCCACCAACCTTGTCGCCCTGCGCTGCACTGACTCCAACCTGGCTATATCCTTTCTGTAATGAGGGGCCCAGAACTGAGCACAATACTCCAGTTGCGGGCGCACCAGAGTCATATAGAGTGGTAGCAATACCCCTCTCGATCTAGAAGCCACGCTTCTGGCTATGCAACCAAGGGTGGCGTTCGCCCTCTTGGCCACCGCATCACACGGCTGGCTCATGTTCAGCCTGCAGTCGACCAGCACCCCGAGGTCCCTTTCACAAGTGCTGCTCTCCAGCCACTTGTCCCCTAACCTGTGCTTATGACACACATTCCTGTGCCCCAAGTGCAAGACCTTGCACTTTATTTATTTATTTATTTATTCGATTTATATCCTGCCTTTTTTCCTACAAAGGGCCCAAGGCAGCTTACATCTGCTCCTCCATCTCGTCCCCACAACAACAACCCTGTGAGGTAGGTTGGGCTGAGAGTCTGTGACTGGCCCAAAGTCACCCAGTTGGCTCCATGGCTGAGCGGGGACTCGAACTTGAGCAGGGACTTACCCACATTGAACGCCATCCTGCTGTCTCCTGCCCACTTCCATAGTCTGTCCAGATCCTTTCGGAGTACCTGGCTCTGGAGTACCTGCTCCTCAGTTTTAGATTTGTCTGCGAATTTGATCAGCAGACTGTTCACCCCTTCTTCCATGTCATTAATGAAAAGATTAAACAGGATCAGCCCCAGGACAGAGCCCTGAGGGACCCCGCTTGTCACTGGCTGCCATCCTGATGATTCCCCGCTAATGGTTACCCTCTGCTTTCGGTCAGTCAACCATGCCCTGATCCACCGGACAGTGCTTTGGTGTACCCCAAAACTCCTCAGTTGCTCCACCAGGATATCACGGGGCACTTTGTCAGAGGCCTTGCTGAAATCCAGGTAAACCACATCCACTGCATCCCCTCCATCCAGCCACCTCGAAACCTTGTCATAGAATTCCTCCAGGTTTGTCTGGCGGGACCTGTTTTTGGGGAAGCCGTGTTGTGTGGCCGCCAGCCTCCCTTCCCTATCCAGCATCACTGGATCTCTCTCTATTATGAGCCTTTCCATTGTTTTTCCTACAATGGGCGTAAGGCTAACAGGTCTGTAATTCCCCATGTCCCTTCTACTGCCCTGTTTGAAAACTGGGACCACTGATGCCACCCTCCAGCCCTCTGGAACGTCACCCGTTCTCCACGAGGCCTCAAAAATGGAGGCCAACGGGCGTGAGAGAGCTCCCCTAATCTGTACTTCATCTATCAGCTCCTCCCTATTGGTCAAGACCAAGTCAAGGATGTTTCTCCCCCTTGTTGCCTCTCGGACCCTGTGTGAAAAACCCTCCCTCAATAGCTTCTAGGAAGCGACGTGACCTGGCTGTCACCGCCGAGTGAGTCTCCCAAGTAATATCAGGGAGACTGAGATCTCCCATAATGACTGTGTCTCTCCCCCGAGATAGCCTTAGAATCTGGCCTGCCAGGCCATCGTCCAGGGTCTCAAGTTGACCTGGAGGGCGATAATCTACCCCCACTGTCAGGTCTCTTTCCCTGTCAAAACCCCTGAGTTTCGCCCAGACTGCCTCTGCCGAATCCCCATCTGTGCTGCATTCTATCCCACTGCATCCTATCCCTTCCCTGACGTATCAAGCCACCCCCCACCCCTCTTTCCCTTCCTGTCCTTTCTAAAAGGGTGATACCCTTCTGTGTTCACATTCCAGACTTGCCTTTCATCCCACCAGGTTTCTGTGATCCCCAGCAGGTCAGACCCTCCCATTCCCAGGAGAGCTTCCAGCTCTTCCTGCTTGTTGCCCATGCTCCTGGCGTTGGTGTACATGCACCTCATCTCCTTCCCACCGCTTCCTTTCCTTGGAGTCCCCAGCCTCCTCCTTCCTCCCATCTTCCCTGATATCTGGCCCCTCTCTGTAGGAGTCCTGTCAGTCCCTGCAGTACCTCTAAAGCCCTGCTCCCAGAGCCCTGATCCTCCCCCCACACTTGTCCAGTGCAGACACATTTCTGGGGGGCCTGCACCCGCCCCCTCCACGGCTCAGTTTAAAGTCTTCTGGACCAAGCTTGCTAGAGCATCTCCAAAGGACCTTTTCCCCGTCCTCGTGAGGTGCAACCCGTCCCTTGCCAGAAGTCCATTGGCAAGAAACCGGGTGCCGTGGTCGAGGAACCCGAAGCGTTCCTTCTGGCACCGCACCCTAAGCCAGTCGTTCATCTCAGAGGCCCTCCTGTCCCTTATTTCTGAAACTAGAGAAGCCGCTCCCTGGGGAAACGGAAGCGAAAGATGGATCACGTTCAGCGCTTCGCCAGCTTCAGTGGGTGGCACAAACCCAAAAGGCATATGGAACTCCTGCGAGGCTCTGTCCTCTCTGTTGGCCACTGTCCAACTGGTGGCAGTTCCCCCAGGGAGAGCCTGGGTGGGACTCCCTCCCTCCTCCAGCAACGAGTTGGCCTTGTTCCTTCCTCCTCTTCCTCCCTGCCACCCCCTCCCTGCTGAGAGTGGGGGAGCCGGTGATCAGGCTGGCCGTGGGTCTCTTGCTTCTCCTGTTTGCCACTGAGGTTTCCGGGTGGGACAGATGGGGAAAAAAAGGTGGACTGAAGGTGCCCCGACAGGCGAATCTGTGAGGCGAGCCTTGGGTGGGGGGAGACACCTGGAAGAAGGTCATTCCTTTGGGCCTCCCCACTGTCTGCAGCCCAAATAAGGGAAGCGGGAAGACCAGACTTCCAGTCTGGCTTCAGATGTAGTCAATGGGGGTCTCCAAGCAGCTGTACCTGATCCCCCAGGGTCCCCCAGCCTGATTTACGCTCAAAAGCAGCACTAGACAGGAAGTCCTGATCAGAAGACACTGCCAGAAATTAAGCTTGGGCCCTTCTACAAGCAAATCATAGAAGAGTTGGTCATGAAGGCTATCGAGTCCAACCCCCTGGATCAGTGGTGCTGAATCTGTGGCACGTGGACCACAGTGGGCATGCAGAGCATTTGCTCGGAAAGGAGTAACGGTGCCAGGCGATGATGTCATGAGCTGCGACTCATTAGCCAGGACATATCTGAGCTTTTGCATGGTCGGGCAGCGCACTGCCAAGGATTTGCTTGGACTGGCTGCGAGTTGTTTCTTCTCAACTAAAACCTCAGCATTCAGGGTTTATTGCAGTGCTAGCACTTTGCGATAAAAAAAGTGGGTTTTGGGTTGCAGTTTGGGCACTCGGTCTCTCAAAGGTTCGCCATCACTGCCCTAGATCACAGGATCATGGAATAGACAACTCGGAAAGGGCCATGAAGGCCATCGAGTCCAAGCCCTGCTGTTGCGGGACACCACATTACACCATCCCACTCAGAGGGCTGCCCAATTTCTCCTTGAATGTCCCCAGTGTGGGAGAGCCCCCCACCTCTCTGGGCAGCTGACCCCACTGTCCTATTGCTCTGACCGTGAGGAAGCTTCTCCTGACGACCAGCCTGAATCTGGGACTTCACAACTTGAAATGATTATTCTGTGTTCTACACTCTGGCGTCAGCAAGAAGAAATCTTGACCTTCCTATTTGGGACAGCCATTGAGGTCCTTCTAGAGGGATCTCATGTCCCCCTAAGTCTTCTCAAGACTGAACATGCCCAGTTCTCTCAGTCTCACCTCACAGGTCAGCGTTTCCAAACCCTGGATCATTTTTGTTGCCCTCCGCTGAACCCTTCCTAATTTCCCTCCGTCTTCTTCAATTCTGGTGCCCAGAACTGGACGCAGGATTCCGGGAGAGGTCTGGCTAGTGACCAGGAGAGGTCTGGCTGTGAAGGGATCAATCCTCAAGTCATCCTCCCCTTGGCCTATGCATCCCTTGGGCCAAAGCAGAAGGAAACGAAGGAGACCACACTGCTGGGTATCATTTAATTGCTTCCACAGACCTTTTCCATCCCGTGCCACCCATACCCTGGTGCCCTCCTCAGAGCGGCCTCAGTGGATCCCTTCCCCAAGTCTGTTCCCAGACTCTGCCAGCTGCCTGTCCTGGTCACATGTTGGCTCGCTCCTGCTGCAGCCGGGAATTGTAGGCCCGCCAGACTGTGTTCCAAGCATCCATGTAGCGATCCATGCACATGGCGATACACTTCTGAAAAGACAAGAAGAGTGCGTGAGGAGCGGCGGCATTCAGCGAGCCCAGAACGACATCGTTGGGACTCTTCTGGCCAAAATGGCTGGCTGAATCTAGATTTCACTGCCATCTACTCAAAGACGGATGGGCAGGAAAGACAGGTGACTTTCAAAAGGACGTCATCCACCTAGACTTCAGCCAAGCTTTCACCCGAGTGCCATACGACATTCTGATAAGCAAATGAGCAAAGACTGGACTAGATGGAAAACCTCTTAGGTGGACCCAACATTGGGTGCTGAATCGGACATATAGAGGACTCATCAGTGGCACCTTCTCAAATTGGATGGAGGTAATTAGTGGGGTGCCACAGGGTTCAGTCCTGGGTCCGGTGCTATTCAACATCTTCATTAATGACTGAGATGAGGAAGCGAAAGAGAATCACATTTGCAGATGATGCAAAACTGTGTGGGAGAGCAAACACCCTGGAAGACAGAATGAAGATCCAGGGCGATGCTGATCAACTTGAACACTGGGCTGAAAGCAACAGAATGAGATTCAATAGGCACAAGGGCCAAGTCCTCCACCGAGGAAAAAGAGACCAAAGGCATTGATACAAGATGGGGAATACGTGGCTCAACAGAACTGAAAAAGAACGTGGAGTCATTGTGGACAATCGGCTAAACACGAGCCAGCAATGCGATGCAATTGTCAAAAGGGCAAATGCTATTATGGGATGTATTAACAGAAGCATGACTTCCAAATCACAGGAAGTAGTAGTTCCACCGTACTCCGCATTAGTCAGACCTCACCCCAAATCCTGTGTCCAGTTCTGGGCACCAAGATTGAAGAAAGATGCAGGTAACTTAGAAAGGGTCCAGCGGGAGGCAAAAAAAGTGAGCCAGAGTTTGGAAACTGCCCTGTGAGGTGAGACTAAGGGAATTGGGCAAGTTCAGCCTTGAGAAGAGAAGGTTGAGGGGGACATGGTATCCCTCTATAAGTACCTCAAAGGCTGTCACAAAGAGGAAGGCCAAGATCTCTTCTTGCTGATGCCACAGTGAAGAACACAGAATAATCAATTCAAGTTGCGACAACTCAGATTCAGGCTGGACACCAGGAAAAGCTTCCTCACTGTCAGAGCAATGGGACAGTAGGACCAGCTCCCTGGAGAGGTGGTGGGCTCTCCACACTGGGGACATTCAAGGAGAAACTGGGCAGCCCTCTGAGTGGGAGGGTGTAACATGGTGTCCCGCAATGGCAGGGGGGTGGACTCGATGGCCTTCATGGCCCCTCCCCACTCCACTATTCCATGATTCTATGATCTAGGCCAGTGGTGACGAACCTACGGCACACGTGCCACAGCGGGCACGCACAGCTCTCTCTGTTGGCATGCGAGCCAAGTCACTCCAGCATCGCCCCAGCAGCCACGCACCAGGAGGAGGAAAGTGTAATGGCACCAGGTGATGTCACTCATTATCCACGACTCATGATAAGAGGTGGTGTCCAAGAGGTGGCCAGAGGCAGGCTCAAAAGGCAGGCGGGCGCGCCAGGAAGGGAGCAGTGAGCGGACGTGTCAAGTCCTGGCGGCGGTTTCCTCCTCCTGCCTCCTCCCAAGCCGCCCTCCTAGCGCAGTGGGGGGCCCCCGCCAACTCAGTAGCTGCCGGTGCAGGCAGGCAGCTGCGTGCTTGCTCCCGGGCCGGGCTCCGGAGCCGCTGGCCACGGGTGGGGCGGGGGAGAAGCTGGGCGAAGGGAGCGAGCGATGGGGTTGAGGAGGTGGAGCAACAGCAGCAGCAGCCGAAGCGAGGAGAAAGGGGGCACCGGGGACCAATATGGCGCTTGCTGGAGAGGGAGGCCAAAACGAGGAGAAGTGGAGGCTGGAACTGCTGCGCGGCAAGAGAAGTGGGTATGTGGTGGGACCCCCCTCCCCACCCGACCTCACTCGCCAAGGCTTGGCAGCACCATGGGGGGGTCTTGAGGTAGATCACAACAGAAGTGTGGAAGGGATCAGCGATGGTCTCATCCCACCTTTAGTTTAGGCTCTCTCCCCGCATTCTGCCCCTCCGGTGAGGAGGGAGGGCATGCGTGCACCCGGGCGCAAGCAAACCCAAATCCCCCAGCTTGGGAGCGCTGAACATGAACATGGCTCCTTCTCTCTCATACTGTGTTCTTTTAAGACAAAAGATGGTAATTTATGAGTTGTTTTTTTCCCAAACTAAATCCTCAGTATCCAGGTTTTATTGCAGCGTTGGCACTTTGTGATAAATGAGAGGGTTCTGGGTTGCAGTTTGGGTACTCGGTCTCTAAAAGGTTCGCCATCACTGATCTAAGGGGTTGGACCTGATGGCCTTCACGGACCCTTCCAATTCTTTCATTCTACGATGATATGATTCCATGACACCATTCTGGATAGCCTCACCTGCTCAGAGTTATCAAGGGTGCTGCCAGGTTTCCCAATACACTTCCGGAAACATTTGTCTGTCATTCTCTGCAAGAGATAAAGGAGAGTCAGACACAGAAGCCCAGAAGGGAGGAAGGAAGAAAAGTCCCTCTTCTGCTTCACAGTTCACAGCATCCCAAGTACATGCAATGTTAGCACCTTGAAAGCTAAAGATTCAGAATAAATGGCCAATTTAAAAGATTTGTATCCTTCTACTGAGTCAGCTTGAACATTGCGTCTCCATGCTCACAGCCAGAAGTCTTCCCCAGCCCTGCTCAAGATGCTCTCAGGATCAGACCTAAGAACCTGTGAGTGCAGAAACGCAGAAACAGAGTGAGGCAGAAGGGGCCTCCCAGGTCATCTAGTCTGACCCTGGCTCTAACAGGCTGTGCTCAGAGAAACACAGAAACAGAGTGAGGCAGAAGGGGCCTCCCAGGTCATCTAGTCTGACCCTGGCTCTAACAGGCTGTGCTCAGAGAAACACAGAAACAGAGTGAGGCAGCAGGGGCCTCCCAGGTCATCTAGTCTGACCCCAGCTCCAGCTGGCTCCACTCACTACACGCCTACCATGTGCAATGTTCTTCTGCTATGCCTTCCCAGGACTTTCCAGCTTAAATTCCAACACACGGCTTCCAACAGCTGGCAGCCAAAGGCCCCGATGTGCCTTTCTCAGCCAGAAACGGAAGCCAAGGGCCCCCAAGCCCCAGTAATGCAAAAGATACTCCCTCAGCCTTCTCCTCCCTCCCCACCCCCATTCCGGGCTGCACCGTGCTTCCTCTAGCATAATGCGGGTGACCTTCCGCTGTGACTCCCAATGAGCAGAAGAGCCCACCTGGCCAATTAATTCATTAATATCCTACTAATATATTGATTTATGAATGCATGAATGTATTGATTCATGAATATATTGATTTATGAATTATGAAGCCATCAATGGGTTACTGTACTGAAGTATTACTTTATCCAAAACTTTTCTATACCGTCCCAAACTTAGACGTGTCGGGACGGTTTTCAACACATCAGGCCGGTCTGAGTCCCTCCCAACAGCAACCGGCCGAGGTGCGGGGAGGGGGCGGCGAAAGCCCAGCATCTCCAGTCCCCCCAGTTCAGAGAGGGCCATGGAGGCCGCAGGCGGGCTTCCCCGCAGATCGCCAAGGAGGCGCCCCCTGCCCAAGCACGCCGCGGCGGGGAGCCTCCGGGGGCGCCCCCCCCCCCGCCATGCGATCCCGCCCGCGTCTCTTCGGCCCCGCCAGCCGCCCCGGGCCTGACCTGCAGCAGCTCCTGCGCGTTGGCCACGGCGATCTGCACCTTGACCTGCTCCATGAGCGCGCCCGGGTCCAGCCGCGCGCCCGAGCCGAAGTCGCCCGGCGCGGAGGACGCCATGCCGCCGCCGCCGCCCGCCTGCCGCTCGCCACGTGACTTCCGCCTCGCTGCGCCTCTCCCGCCTAGAGGTGAGGCAGCTGGGGGAGGACGCACGTCCCGCTACGTCCGGCGCGGCGCGGACGCCGCCGCGACGGAGCCCCCCTCCATGGCGGGGGCCGGCCGCAGGAGTAGGACCGCCACCCCCCAGCGCGGCAGCATCCCGTAGGTAATGACTCTGGCGTAGTGCATTTCTGGCTAGGCGCGGAATGGTGAGACGCGTGGAAGAGCAATGATGGGAGGGGCGGTAATACATTGCAATGGGGGGGGGGGGGGGGGGGGCCAGGATGCGAAGGAATAAACCCTCTGCCCTACCGTGCAGGGTTGGCGTGAGTCCTCGCTCCCCCCCCCGCCGGCCCCAGCATGTAGCAGCAGGAGGACGTGGGGGGGGTGGGGGGGGGAGAACCCAACATCCTGTTGTTCCCTACCCAAAGTTCAAGGGCGGTCCAAAGGGTCGTTTCAGTTTCAGTGTCAGTTTCCGATTTGTTGGGGGGGGTCTCCCCTATGCCCCCTCCCCACGACCGCGGACCTTATTTTTCCCAGCGGAGCGGCAGCGGCACCCTCCCGCTGCGAAGGGCTCTGAAAATAGCCCGCACGTTTTCGTGCAGACAAAAGCGGCGCCTCCCCCTTCCCGAGGAGGGCGCTCAGCAGCGAGGCCGGCTGAGAAAGTGGCCCCTCGCCCCGCCGCGCATTGGGGCTCGGAGCCCGAGGAGCACTTATTTCCGGCCGGGGGGTGACCATTCAGCTTTCCCCCCCAAACCTAAAGGCCCCGCCAGGGTGTGCAAAGTTGGGGGTTCTCGTGCAGCACGCGGGTTGCTCCCAATCAAGGTGCCCCCCTGTGAGATTTGCACTGGGATTTCCTATTAAAGACGCGGTAGCGGTACCGTATTTCCCTGAAAATGCGAACGGCCCTTAGATGAATTTTTGCTCCAAAAGACACATTAGGGAATATGTTCAGGTGATGTCTTATTTTTTCATGGACAACAATTACGTGTATTCCTGGACAAAAAGCTACATTGATTCAAAGACAGTCATGTCATCTTCTGGAACATCATCATCATAATAAAATAATAATAATAACATCATCATAACTTTCCGAACTCCAAATTGTTGCAACGGACGTCCTAAAAGCGTCTGTCTGGCCGACGATCTTTCTATTTAATTCTTTATTGATATTTTTCTTTTATAATTCAAACCGTCCACGGTGGGTCGCAAGGGTCGTCCTAAATGGATGTGTCTGGCTGATGATCTTTCTATTTAATTCTATATTCATATCATCAATTTATAATTCAACACGTCCATAGTGGGTGGCAAGGGACACCCTAAATGCGTCCGTCTGGCTGATTATTTTAACTGGGGCTTATTTTTGGGATAGGGCTTATTATTATTATTATTATTATTATTATTATTATTATTACATTTTATACTGCCCATAGCCAAAGCTCTCTAGGCATCCTGAAAAATCATGCTAGGGCTTATTTTCCGGTTAGGTCTTATTTTTGGGGAAACGGGAGCGATATTGTATTTTTTTGTATATATTGTATTAAAGGTCCTTATTAACAGTTTCCTCCCTAGGGTGGCAGGAGCTGCGTGCGCATTGATGAGAAACTGTGTTCCAGACCAATTTCCAATGTAAGCTTCCGCGCGGTTATTCAGCAGGAAGCTTCCCATGTTCTGTGGGAGCCTTGGGCGCTTCTATAAAAGCTGGGACCGTGACTCTGAGCCAATGTTCATTACCCTGCAGCACCCAAGGGACCATCTGGAAATTGGAAACCGTCTGGGCTGAGCACCTGGCTATGCCGGGGGTACAAGAGGCATGCCGGGCAGCACAGCTCCTGATTTAAAAGAAATAGGCTAGAAAAGGGAGCAGCTCCTGAGCATGTGGAAACAGACAGGTGTGGATTTTCTTACCTTTGCTTTTAAAGCGCATTAGCCTTTTCTGCTGCAGTGTGTCAGTTCATAGACTTATAGGATCATGGAATAGTGGAGTGGGAAGGGGCCGTGAAGGCCATCGAGTCCAATCCCCCGGGATCATGGAATAGTGGAGTGGGAAGGGGCCATGAAGGCCATCGAGTCCAATCCCCCAGGATCATGGAATAGTGGAGTGGGAAGGGGCCATGAAGGCCATCGAGTCCAATCCCCCAGGATCATGGAATAGTGGAGTGGGAAGGGGCCGTGAAGGCCATCCAGTCCACCCCCTGCTGTTGCAGGACACCACATTACACCATCCCACTCCGAGGGCTGTCCAGTTTCTCCTTGAATGTCCCCAGTGTGGGAGCTCCCACCACCTCTCCAGGCAGCTGGTCCCACTGTTGTATTTCTCTGACCGTGAGGAAGCTTTTCCTGTTGTCCAGCCTGAATCTGGGTCATCGCAACTTGAAATTATGATTCCATGAGCTCCGCTCTGGCATCAGCGAGAAAAGATCTTGACCTTCTCTGTGGGACAGCCTCTGAGGTCCTTCTAGAGGGGTCTCATGAGCCCCCTCAGCCTTCTCTTCTCAAGGCTGAACAGGCCCAGTTCTTCTCGTCTCTCCTCACATGGCAGCGTGGATCATTTTTGTTGCCCTCCGCTCGACCCTTCCTAATTTACCTGCGTCTTTCTTCAATCTTGTGCCCAGAACTGGACATGGTATTCCAGGTGCTGCTGTTTTTCGCTTTCAGAAACACAGAAACAGAGTGGGTGAGAAGGGGCCTCCCAGGCCATCTAGTCTGACCTGGATCCAGCTGGCTCTGCTAGCTTTTCTAGTGGCACCACTTTGCCTTCTGGGAAATTTGGGGGGGGGTTGCCCCTCTCTCCTCCCCACTGTGACAGCTGTTTCGAGAAAAAACCCGCAGCAACACTCAGAGTCCCAGACGCACCTGATCCAGGGTGCTTCTGCATGGCATGGGTGAAGGTCAGACTCGCCAAAATTATTATTATTATTATTATTATTATTATTATTATTATTATTATTA